TTTGTCCTTTTTCCTCCCTTTATCCCACCAAGGCAGAGGCATCAGTATTTGCTCCTTTTAAAGTCATACTTGGAGCTTGCTTCTTTGGCTGTCCATTATGCAAAAAAGGGCACTCAGACTTTGGAACACAGATCTCTATGCACCTTAGGAAATACTTTCTGAAAGTCTCCAAATGTATGGGGATTCGAATTTTAAATATTATGGGTTTAACTGGCATTAAAAAAAGGGAAAGATGAGTAGTGCTGGTTCATGACTTTAATCCTAGCATGTAAGAGGCAGAGGCAGGCAGATCTTTGTGAGTTCAAGACCAGCCTGGTATAAAAGGGAGTTCCAGGACAGTAAGGACTGTTACAAGATGATTCTACCTTCCTTTCAAATAAGTGAATTGCATAACAAAATTAGTTCATTTCTCCTACAAGTAGGTTTTATATGTGTCAAACTTGTACTTTATTTATAATAATGCATAGAGTAGCAGAAAGAGGTCTCCTGGCAGAGCTCTGGACAACAGCTGGCTCCCAGTTGGGCAAAACAGCAGAGTGCAGAGCTTCTCAGCTGTATCTGTACATTGCCATGTCATCTTCCATCATCTGGTTCTTGGGGAGACTCTTGTTTCATTCTGTCAGTCCTATGGTGCTATTGTTGTGGGGTTCCAGTTCCCACCTAGACAAGAGTGAGCCTGTGATTCCAAATGCTTGATTTAAGCACACCCTGCCCCAGTACCATTGTTTAGAGTAAGGAGCATGACTCAGCATCTTTGGGTGGACAGATAGGGGATCAGACTGAGAATAAAGCCAAGGGAGACAGGCAGGTGACAAGACTAACTCAGCTGTGTCTGACACGTGAAAGAGGATTCCCATTAAGTTATGAAACCTAGCATCTTGTTGTTTAGCCAAATTTGAGTTGGATTTCTATGATACGCAATGAAAAGCATCCCAATAAATATGGTATTTCCTTTTCTCAACCGTTGGGGTTCTAATGTACACTTAAATAAATGCTTACAATTTGAGTGACACACCTGATTGCAAGACATAGTTATCCCCAAAATTCATGTCAAACAAGTCTTTATTTTTCATGGTACAAATTAAAAGTGACAGATCTGAAGCTGTTAAGAAATACACAAAGTGCAGCTTTACCGACCATACAGATATTGCTCTAGATTACGTACAGTTTTTTTTTTTTTTTTAAAACATTAAGCAACCTGTGCAGATAAGTCAGCTTTGGTTTCAATGATAGAACAAGTAAGGAGCTTTTCAATATCCAGTTTGGCTTCTTGGTCACAAGTCTATCATGTCAATGTGTCATCATGATGATTTATTTTTTCCAGAACAACCCAGTCTTTTCCTGCTCTCTCTCCTGCTGCCTGCTCCAGGCATGGAGAAGCAGATTTCTTTGCAGTGCCTCATTAAGTGACCCTGGTGACCAGTCTAGATCACAGCACAGAGGACGAAATAATTAAAAATAAAACTTAAAAAAACTCACTTTTCAACAACAAATAAGCCAGTGTGCCTCACATAATTTCAAGGTGAAGACAAGCAAATCACATGACAAAAAGCTCATTACAAAACATTATCCAAACAGATTTTACAGTCAGACATGGAAATGAAAATCAATTTTCTTTTTCTCCATTGTTTTTATGCTTGATCATTAACTGGGTACAAGTAGAGTGCTGAGGTAAAACATTGATGAACAGTTTGTGATTTTTTTTCTTAAAATAGGAACAGTTTAGTATTGCAAGATTGTCAGCAACATTTAGCCATATCTACACAATGTGCATATACCTACACATACTGAGCTTTGGTCCAGCGTAGAGAAGAGAGCAAAGGCATTTGGATTTCTTTTTGGTTACAGCTTGAGTTCTTTGATACGCCTCTACTTGTTTTGTTCTGCTTCCCCCCAGCTCCTTCTGCTTTTTTTGTTCTCTTTTGTGTTGTGTTGTGTGTGTAACTGTGTGATCACGACATAAAGAGTCCAAAACTTGCAAAGGCAAGTGAAACTTTTAACTATTTAAAGCATCTTTTTGGTTGAAAGGAAAACAACCCCACAAGCAAGTGTAAAATACAATATTGGCTGCCATTTCTCATCAATTATGAAGAAAATGAAGATGACAACAATTTAAAAAATGTGAGAAAGATTACAGAAGCTTGAAGTACAATGCATACGCCCAAAGTGGCTTTTACTTTTTGTGAGTGGCAACCTTAACCTTAACCTTCAGTTCATGGAAACATAAAAGACACTTAGATGCTATTGATATATGAAGTTGTTTACCAGAGGAAGTTAGAAATGTCTAATAAAATTAAGCAGTAGGTGTGGTCCTGAAGGCTTGTGTGTTCCCAAGTACAGTTTATATTCCTAAGAATCTGTTCAGGCTATTTTTTTTTTGCCTTGTAGCAAAAAATTCATCAGTAAAAAAATCAATATAAGAAGCATTACAACACTATATAAATAATTTATAAAACAATACAAAATTATAAAACTATAAAAAAATCACTGCACATGAATAGTTTTACAACCATGGGATGAATTCATTTCTTTTTTGTCTACTCTGGGTGATTACTTTTATATTTTCACTATTCTAGTTATGCTCTCCCAATTATAGATCTCAGAACTTAGCAGGCCTCATGTGCCTGCTGCCGGTTCCGATTTAAACATTTAGCATCCGTCATATGTTATCTTGTTAACTTCTCTTCTTGGGGAGCTTTTCTTGATGGAATTTGGAGCAGGTCCTAGGAGAATACAAAATCTGTTTTAATCAATAAAGTTTTCGGTTTCTGGGTTGCTGGTATCTGTGCAGTTTTCGAAGTGGTGAAATGCTACCATGATGATGTTGGCACTGATCAGGCTGGTTGTGGTCCAATTAGCATCAGACTGGTGTCATGGAAACACTTTTATTAATGCCTCTCTCACTTCCAGGATTACTGTTACCTAGTTTTCTTGTTGGGACATTTATGATTGCTGATTGAACCAGCTGAGGGGTTTATGCATTGCCCCATTTTCATAACCAGCAAAGGAACCAACACAACAAAAATCTAGAACCCCTGGGTGGGAGGAGTGAGCTAGGGGAAGGAGATGGTCTTTGTAATCAACTGGGCAATGTGAGGTGGGGTTTTACTTTACCTTTCATGATTTGCTTCTAGGCAGTAGATGAGCATGCTTTGTAATTAATTACTTATAGATATTTACATTTTGATAACAAGTAAATTGATGATTCTCTTTTACCTCCTTTGCTAGAACTCTCCTAGGAGTTTCTTTGCCCTTCCATCCTGTTTGTCCATTCTGTGGGCTTCTTGGGTCTCATGGGTCATGCCTTGGGGATGCTCTTTTAAAAATGAATTAATATGCTGGTTTTAATAGTGAAGGCTTTTCTGATATGTTTTACAAGCTGCTTCTGTATACTTTTCCTTTCTTGGAGAACCTTTGTTGCTAAAACTTTTCTAGTCAAGAAGTCAGAACCTAATTCCAATTGCTTGAATTTGGCCGTCACTTTTTGTCCTATTTACATATTCCAAGAACAGCTGTACCCCACGTCCAATGTCTACCAACATTGTATAAGAAGTAAGCCGCAGACAAGATGAGGTTAACAGGCTATTTGGGAGCCTCTACCTAACAATCTAGGTCACTGACATTTTCTTTGTGGTCTGTTTTGTGTGAGGTGGATGGGTATGAACATGCTTGTGTGTGTGTGTGTGTGTGTGTGTGTGTGTGTGTGTGTGTCTGTGTGTCTGTGTGTGTGTGTGTGTTGACTGAAACCTTGAGACATTTCTTTGGCTATCAGACTTCTGAGAGAAATTGCTTTGAACAGAAGCAAAACACAGATGTAAGTATTGAACCATATGTGCAGGTTATATTTATATTACAGAATTAGTTTTGATCAGCTCTCCACACTTGTGGCTAGCAGACTGAAAAAAAAAATCCCAATCTCTGGTAAGGACCGAGGCACAACTATAGCCTCTGTCGGTGTTGATAGTCACACAGCAAAGCCCTGGTTATTCTGGAGTCTTTCCTGCATCCCTGCAGGCTGGGAGTGGAAAATACATTGTTTCTTCCCACTTCTGCTACCTTCCAAGATTCTGGGAGCCACATGAGAGGGAGGTGGAGAAATAAGGAAGAAAGGGAGGTGTGAGCTCCATTTTCCTTCTCGAAACTACTACACATAGTGAGAAGAAAGTCATGAATGCTTTGGCACACAATCCCACAATCCAGGTTGTCCCTCCCCACCTAAAACAAATAAAAGAAAATAACACAATTTGTGAAAACAAACAATTTCTACTGCTAAGAAGCAAATTGGTAGAGAGTGAGCCACACAGAATGATTTTAACAATGGTGCCCACCCTGGTGGCAGAGACAACAGATGAGAAAGACGGGAGAAAGCAGGCTTCCTACTTTTCTGTTAGTACAGATGTAAAAATTCATAACAATTTTACACGCAGAGGCGAGTAGACGAGCAACAGCATTTGCAGTGTTTCCGACTTTGGTTAATAGGTTTTGCAGTGATCAGCACTTAGTCCCTGAAGGGTTGCAGGCACTCCTCCAGGTGGCAGGCTTGCATTCGCTTTGAACAGATACACGTTTGTGGTGGCGGGGGTTTTGTTGTTGTTGTTGTTGTTGTTTTTTTTTTTTTTTTTTTTTTTTTTGGTTTAGTTTTTTTTCCCTTTTCCTTAAAAGGTGTTCATATTTTCATCATATACAGAAAAAAGTAAGTGAATATTTGGTTTGCTTTAAAAAACTGGCTTTAGGGAGACAGGTTGGGGAGGAGACGATCCTACCACATACTCCTTCCAAGTGGTGTGTTTCTTGTTTAAAAATTTAAAATTTCCTTTTCTTTTTCCTTTTGGAAAACCAACGGACGTGTATAAACCATTCTGCCCTTTGGGTAGTTTTTTTTTTTTTCCTTTCCTTTTTTTTTTTTTTTTTTTTTTGTCTTTCACATACAAGGGAGATGATGAGTGGGGGTGTCTTTAAATCCTTTCTTCTTTCTTTTTTTTTTTGTGGAGATTCAGGGTAGCATTCAGTATCTGTGGCGCTTCCTTCTGACCATGAATGGGAGTGTCTAGCAGTTTTCTTCAGGGGAATCTGCTAAGGGCTCCAGGGGGACTGCTGAAGTTGGCTCATGTTGCTTTAAGCGCTTAATTGTGTTCTTCAGGGCTTGTCTCTTATTGCAGAACCAAACTCTAACTACTTCTCGGTCATAGTTTAGCTTCTCAGCAATCTCGGTCATTTCCTGCCCTGAGGGGTGTGTGTTCTTCTCAAAGTGGGCATTGAGGATCTCAAGGGCCTGGGGTGTGAAGGAGGTGCGCCGCTTGCGCTTTTTGGAGGGCTCACTCCCAATAAATTCGGTGAGGTTCTGCATACCTGCTCGATGGCGGGCCTCAGCCTCAGCCATCCACCGCTCAAGCACCGGCTTGATCTTCTGGGCACTTTTAGGGGTGATGTCCAGCTTTTCAAACCTGGCAGGATACAAAAGGCCAGGGTTCAGTTTGGCTGTCAGACTGCTAGCTATAGTGTTCTCTTGGGCTTCCTGTGGTAGGAAAAAGTGGCTTCTCAGGATGGTGTGTCTGGGGGGAGAATTGAGAAAGAACAGTCTTACACTGAGTCCTCTGCCAGGGTGGGCCTCCTGCCTGCCTGCCTGATTGCCTGGCAGGGTGAATTCACTCCAGATTAGCAGCCAGCTGCAAGGTAGCCAGCCCTGCCCCAGCCAGCACCCACCCTCCCAGCGTGCTCCATGCGAGCCATGCAGACAGATCTCCAAGCACATGGACAGGGGAGAGGGACAAGCACAGCATACACCTGGAAACAAGCAACTGGAAGGCCTTTTCTCTTGAACTCTGGGAGCTAAGCTGCCTTTTCAGCTGATCCCAACTCTGTTTCCCCAACCCTCAGAATTCTTAAGGCAGAGATTAACCAAGAAAATGACATTCAAGACAACAGTTGTCACATTCTTTTACTTAAAATGATCATATTTTACATTTGGTTTTCTCCTCTATTGTGTTGTTGGTTTTGAAAACCATTACAGCTATTATCATAGTCTGGTATGGGTACTGGGCCAAGCTCCTCTTTCTGCATCTCTTTTTATCTCCCCTTGTGTCTTATTTTAACTTCTTTCTCCCTGGTAACAATTTTCCCCATATGTAAGTTAACAACATCCCTCCCTGTCCAGGTAAAACACAGACCAGTTGTCACTTTACAGTTCTGGTCTAAACAGCTGGATACATTGTAATTACTATGGAATACCCCACCCCTGGGTGGGCTTAGGTCACCTCATGCCTTCCAATCACCATCCAGTGTAATGGTGCACTTTCGTACCAGAGCATCATGCTGTGTTTAATGTGTGATATCTGCAAACTGTACTTGAATGATATCATTTTCTGTAAATGAGGTCTTCTATATATCAATTGCCATCAGCAATTCCTTGCTAAATTTACTTTAAAAAATATGAAGCATCCTGAACAAAATTATATAGACTGTTTTAAAAAGTCCTTCTCGTACTAAACTCATACTGTCAGAAAGATACCAAAAGAGACCAGTTCCTTTTGCTCATTTGTTTCTTTATTCTAAGTCCAAATTCATGTCCCCCCTATTGGCAATAGTGGGCACAGACTTTCTCTTTTTAAAAAATGTTCCATGTTGTTGAAAAGCAATCATCTGGTGTGTTTTAAGATCCTTGCAAAAGGATAGAACAGGAAGGCCTTCCTCTGCTCCAGGATCTGAGTGTTGGAGGGTTTCTTTAGATCCCTTTGTTGAGATGAGCAGCACAAGGTTTAACTCCATGGCACTCCCACACAGAGTTCAAGAAGGCATTCGCTTACTTAGCATTATTAATGAGTTTGTCACCTGTGGCAGCCTTCCCAAAGCCACCCTGGTGATAACTTGCCACCTTCTGTATTTTGCCATCCTTCATCATAAAAGCCTGGGGCTTGAACTCTTGATAGCATCACAACTGGTCTCATAGGGCTATGGTATCAGGGACAGAGCTGGTGAAAGAGATATCTGGTGTATCAGTGTCATCTTCCTTTTGTACCTCTGATAAGAAGGCTCACACAGCATCTAGGAGTCACTGCAGTCAATTAGCACAGAGTGACATTTCAGTGTGCGGTCACTGATGTATAGTCTTTCCCACTCTTTGAATTCACTGAGAATATGCCAATGTAAAGTCTTGAGACTTGTTAATTAATTAATTAATTAGTTAATTAATTGATAGGATAGATATCTTCTAAACTGTGTCAGTAAAACACTGGGAACTGGATACAGGCCCTGAAGTATAGGGGTTTTCTCTGTTAAATAACATTCTCAGAAGTCTGCATTCTACAGTATTTTTAGCTTCCCTCTGGGGAAGGCTTAAGAAATCAGCATATCTGATTGGGGATGCCCAGGAATCCGTGTGTATATGTATATATGAATTGAAACATTTGAGAGCACTTCAGTCAATAAAAGAAAATCACATTTTTGGGTTAAAATAAGCAGAGAGAATTTAGCAACAATGGCAAATTGGCATCAAAATAAAAACCTGTGGCTGCCTTGATCACAAGGCACCGGGACCAAACAAAATTAATGTCTCCTGACAGGGAGAGACAGTATCCCATCATTGATGCTGCTTGTTAGCGTTGAGGCTTCTGTACGTGTTGTTTGGAATAACATATACAAGCCTTGATATAAATTTCCCAGCAGTAGTATCCTTGTATAGACTGAATAAAGGTTATTTTCTACAGGGAGGTATCTTATAAGAAAAAACAGTAGGGGAGACCATAGAAGTGAAAGGATCCTATGGTGCTTTTTGTATTTAACAACAATCAATGGGTTTTATGGAAAATCATTGAGCAAAATGTGAGCTGCAAGCTACCACCCCATACTGATGTTATTTATAACCTTAGTCTTAAACTGCAGGAAAAGTACACTTCTGTCCTTTGGGGAATACATTAAAAGTATAAAGAGCAGATAAAAAGACAGCATTTCATGGATCACCAAGAACAAAATCCACTTAAATGAGTTTAGAGTTTGTTTCTTGGCTGTTCCTGATGGAGGAGGACTCCTAAGGCATTGCCCAAGAGGAAAAAGCTCCTTCGTTACCTCATGCATAAACATGGGATTAGTGCAACACACAGACATGCGTGGGGGCTGACCCTGAAGACTCAACCCGGATCAACTCAAACACAACCAAGGCTGGATTCAGTCATTTATTTAATGTGGAGGGGAGGGTATGGGTACAGTTAGGCCAGATTCACTACCCGTTTCTAAGACATTTAAAACAGGTCTTTTCCTTTTTCTTTCTTTCTTTCTTCCTTCCTCCCTTTCATCCTTTCTTTCTTTCTTTCTTTGTTCCTTTCTTTCTTTCTTTCCTTTTATTCCTTCTACCTTCTTTCGTTTCTGCTTATAAGGATGTGTCTGGGCAGGCAACTTATAAAATTTCCTCCCATGAGATAGTGAAATTTGCTAAAATGTGTGTTTCATGGGAAACCTTGAAGCCATCTCTGAGAAATTAACAGTGGGTGAACTAGCAGCTTTGCTTTTGCTCAGGATGCCCATGTGTGGGAGCATTCTCATCTCCCAGGGACATGGAGGAGAAAAGAGATCCCTGCCCAGGGCAACACATTTTAACCTGCAAGCCTTGGAAGTTCTTAGAGTCGATAGGAGTTAGGAGGCCAGGACCCCTCAACTCTGCATTGACACCCCATTTTGCATCAATGTCACCAGTGCCAGCACACAACTACCCCAATCTTCATTATCATGCTCTCTTCCTCCAGTTTGCCCACCCAAAGAAGAGCTGAGCTGCAAGAACAAACAAGGCCTGGGCTGGCCAGTGACAGCATGCAGAGCCCGTTACCTGCAGATGGCTGACTGGCTGTATGCAGGGCCCTCTGTGGCACTGAGGGCTTGTCCCACCTGAGTCTGTGTCAGGCCAAGGGACAGGCGTCGGATTTTAAAAGCTTTGGCAAATTCTCGAATCTCCTCCAGATTAACCCCATCCACCTCACCCGATGCCGTTTGAGGATCTGTGGAAATGTTTTTAAAATAGGATTAACACGTCAACACATAGCCTGTCAGTATGTTTATCACTGAGCAGCCATAGAGCGATGGAGAAACCATCATAGTACTTCTTTGTCTCTCATCCTTCAGTATACCTTCCTCCTCCACAAGCCATCCTTCAATGGCCTTCTATTCCAGATAAAGCCACTCCTATTTACCCTGCCACTTCCAAAAGCAAGAACACAGTTCTTTGGGGCTTAGCAGCAGCAGTGAACAAGGGCAGGCCCTTGCTGGAGGGATCCAGCCCCACTTTTAGGTAAGCCCATTCATACACTGTGCAAAAACATAAACACAGGACGGAGGTTTCTGCCTGAAATGTCTTAATTGAAATTCCCCATGTTAACAATTGCCCACGAAGGAAATGGCACTCTGTGTTTTTCTTTCACCTGATTGCCATGTAGCCAGGCTAATAGATGGTAATCTCGCCTCATTTCTTATGTTCGCATTACCCCTCAGAAGAGCATGGTTATGAAGCTGTGAGAATAATATTGTCTTTTTTCCCCATAGCGGTTTACCCTCACAGCTGCCTTTGTCTCCTGAAAGGGCACATAATAAAAACTGCCTACCACAGGAAGGCTCCTTTGGTGCCGGATAACGCGGTCAATTTAGGACTTATCAAGGGAAATGACACAACAGCTGGAGAATGAAACTTTCTCCCCCCTGGCTACTGATCCCTGGATAAATGAAAGAGTTCGCTCGCCAAGCTGGAGCCAGCATGGGCTGGGCCTGGTGAGAGATTTCAGTGTGGCTCAATGCTGCCCGTGGAGAAGCCAGTCCTGCCGCAAGGATCTCTATTGTTCTTTACCTCACTCTTCCGACTTAGCTGAAAGTTGTGCTTCCTCTTCCTGCACAGCAACCCATCAATTTCAGTGCATTTCTGTTCTTGTCCCAGGACTGTGGTCGACTATGCTACCGTTCTTGGCTCAGTGCTATGTACTCTCTGGCTATGACTAAAAGAAACATTTGCATCCTAAGTGTGCATTGGGGAAGGTCCTAGAGTACTGTGCATAGCTTCTCTCAGTACAAGGTAGGGTGGAGGTGTGGGCAGTGATTCCCACAGGCTGTGGAAAACATACTGTTAATAGAATAATACAGGTATACGTTATACATGTATCTTCACATTAAAAGTAAACCTCTGACCAGGTATAGTAGCACACATGTGTGGTGCTGAAGCAAGAGAAGTCATGAACCCCAGTCCACGGCCAAACAGGGCAACTCAGAAAGACTATTTAAGAAGTCCTTAGAAATTTCATAGTGCTAGCTCTCATTTCATCACAGAGAGATTAAATAGCGGTTTGGTCATTGCAGTCAGTTTGTAAGTGACTTTTGGTTTCTGACTGGAGTGGGGAGGCATGTTTATTTGGGGCTTAGCTTGAAAAACCAATGGAAAAATGAGAGGAAACAATCAGGAACTGGTTTTGGGAGTGCCACTAGGGATACAAACCACTCTTAAGGGCTGGCTCCATGTGCAGCAGTAGATGGCCAGCATGAAACAAACTCAATGGCAGTTTTGGAGGTTTTTAATTTTATTGTTAACTTTACAGGTCTTTGGCATAGATATTATGATTTCTGATTTCCATGTTTCTGTGAGATCTCTCTCTCTGTGTATGTCTCTGTATCTATATGCATTTCTTGTGCTGTTTGTTTGGCTCTTTTGCTTCTATTTGTTTTGCCCTATTGTGGTTCATTTGTTTTCATTTTATCATTATTTTGTAGATGCCTCTTTGTTTTTTAACAAGAGAGAGAAAGAAAGGGCGTGGATTTGGGTGGGAGGGGAGGTGGGGAATCTAGGAGGGGTTGGGGAGGGGAAACTATAATCAGAATATACTATATGAAAAAAATTATTTTCAGTAAAAGAAAGGAAAAGAAAAAAGAATGTACAAAACAAAAGACTGGTAGTGTGATTCAGCCCTAAGCATGCATAGAAGGGAAGAGGGACAGGAGGGGCCATTTGCCAGAGAATCTAAGGGCTTTGCTTTGTGAGTAAAAGGGGCACACAAGCTGGAGAAGGAACTCATCCAAGTGTTGAACATCTCAGGACAGCACACTGACAGCCTGCATGTATGGCAGGGCTTGTTGTTTATAAGGTTGGTTTGGATAAGATGAATTAAAATCTATCCTCCCCACCCTCAATTTCCTTCTAGAAATCTGCTATTGAGTCAATGTAAGACTTTTGAGTGTTTTGTGGTGGAGATTGTCCTCTGCATTTTAAATCCCACCAGCATAGCAGAGTGGAGTGGCTTTCAGGGTTCACAAAGAACTCTGGGAGACCACATCTGCACACATGGCTGCCTCTAGCTCTTGTCTTATTTCCTTGCTAAAATAATCCCAGAATCAGGAGCTGCAAATGAGTAATGCAGAAGGCTCACACATATTTTGAATTACTTGTCAATAATATAAAAGGGGGCTTTTAAAGGAAAAGCAAGAGTTTGATGTTCTTTCCAGTGCAGAGGATCTACATTTTCAGTAGTTGTTTTCAGTCACGTGGAACCGATTCTCACTGCCCCTCAGCCCTTCTACTCCAGTCCCTCTCACATTTGCTGCCTGTCCAAGATGAGCTGTGAGCCTGAGTTCAGATTGGGCATTCTTGCTGCTTGGTTCTGGGGCTTAAGCAGGAAATACTAGGTGACACAGTGGCTGTCATTATCAAAGATGACAGTACACAAACAGGACAGATTTACAGCATATCTATGTTAAAAACAAGCAAAAAACCTCATGGTGGAAGGAAGAATTATTAGGATTAAGAAAAAATTATTAGGATTAAGAAAAAGAGGAGAGAAGCATAAAAATTAGTAGCTGAGGAATACTGGTTTAGAATAGAGGTGGGCATTGGCTAGTACAGAATGGTACAGTGAAAGGAAAGATTGGCCTTGTCTCTTCCAAAGATGGTGAAGTGTTTGTCAGTCTTGCAAGTAACACCAGACACTCAAACACTCAAAACTTAAGGAAAAAAAAGTCAGAGACTTTCTTTGCACAGACATGGCTTTTAGAATGGTGCTTTTAATTTGAGAGGCTTGAGTCACCTGGTATGGCCAGGAGAACATCTTATAGGTGGTACAGGGGTTCTGATGTGGCAGTGGGTGGTGGGGGTGGGGTGGGGGGTGTCTGCCTGTTCTTGCCTGCATGTCTCCACCTTTTCCTCTTCATGGAACTATTTTTCTGAACCCATTCATGCTCTCATCAGAAGGTTATGAAGATGATTTGAGACCAGCTTGATTGGGAGCACAAGAGCAATTTTCAGGGCTCAAAGTGGATCCAGCAACTATAGCCAGAAATCTCAAGTAGAGTTTCTCTGGATAGAGGAAGAAGTGGTGGTCCTTTTGTAGAAGTTGTCTAAGCCTAAGTAAGCCCTGCACACACAATATAGGCCAGGAAAGAATAGCAGTGATGGCCGGCCAAGGTCCACCTTAAAAGTGGCTGTGACATTACACAGGGTATTATGTAGCCCTGGCTCTGTAGAGGGAATTGCTGGGGATTTAAGGAACATTGGACTTGGACATTTGCAGTGACTCAAAAGTATAATGACAGTTCCCACACCAAATCCAGAATGCTAAGACTAAGGAAGCAAAGGGATTTTGATGGAAATGAAATGCAAACTTATTGAGAAAAATCCTGTTCTGTGGACTCTGGTGAATGGTGTCTGGGCCTATGTGGAATTGGGGGCTTGGGATACACTAGGACCACTAGGACAGGACAGATGTTGCTGTGGTTTCTGTTTTTGTTTTGTTTTGTTTTTGTTTTTTCCTTTTTAGTTTCGTCTTGCCATTAGCCTTGATATTTATGTAGAGTGTTGCTAAGTAATTAAACATTCCATACATCAACACCATCCTGCTATGATCCCTGCTTATAGAATGGTTATAGGCATGAAATGCATCTTTAACAAAGTTGCCAAAAGCATGAATGAATTTTTTAAAATAATTTTTTAATGAATGAAAATCTTAGAGAAACAGAACAACCATCAGTTTTCATCATCTTCTCATAGCACTCAATAGGTGTGCTTACCCTGTAGTTCTAAAAAATGAGAATCCATCAGAGATTGAGAATGTGGTTTTGGAGAGGCCCTTGCATCATGACAGTGTCAGTGGCTGTATCAGAGATTTCTCTATGCTCTAAGCTGTCTCCATCTTTATGGTTCATCTTTAGTTTTAAGACAGTAACTCTCAGTCTTTTGTTAATGGCCAAGCTCACAAGCCATGAGTTTCTAAACATATGGAGAATAGAAATAAAAACTGCAGCCCCTCCTCCCAGCAGTTAGAACCTCAAATATACCTCTTTCAAATTAGTCCACTGAAAATTTCAAACCAAGCTGGGAGTTTTAAACTCATTTGTTTGATTTTTCTTCTAGATTTTCTAAAAGTTAAGTTTAGAAAGTTTAAGCTCTTAGTAGTTTAAGCTCTTGCTTAAGCACGGGGATCCCTAGAACCCATGTAAAAAGCAGGAGATACTGCCTTCAGTTCTAAACCCAGAGTGAATGCAAAGAAGGGCAGAGATGGGCTTCCCAGAGCAAGTCAGTCAGTGGCACTAGCCATTGCTTTGAGTTCTGGCTTTGGTTGAGAGATCCAGCCTTACTAAGGTGGAAGACCTATCAAGGAAGATTCTGGACATTAACCTGGCATCTTTACTCTCTTCCCTCCCTCCCTCCCTCCCTCTCCCTCCCTCCTTCTCTCTCTCTCTCTCTCTCTCTCTCTCTCTCACACACACACACACACATATACAAGTGAGCATGTATGCACATACCACATACACACACACATGAAAAATCGGAAAGAAAAAACCTAGCTTATAGAAACAGTGTCACTCTATGAGAGCTATGGAAACTGAGCAAGATTAAGGGAAGGGTGTCAGGGCCACAAAATTTATTTTGTTTATTTTTTTTTTGCTCTGAGCTCAGATGAGGAGTTCATCGAACACAAAAGTAATTTGATTATTACAAGGGATCAGCTTGGCATACTTTTGCCTGGAGTGGGCCAAACAATTTAATACTAATTTTTAATCTATGGACAACATCATCTTTGACAGTGATATGGAAGATTCACTAATTATAACTCTGACCAAAATTTGTGTGATAATGTCATGTAAGAAATATAGCTCTCAAAACTCCTAAGTAATTACAGGAATGCTATGATCCTCATTTGAATATTTCCTTTTGGGTTCCCAGCACAGACCTTCTAAACTCCTTGGAATTTCTTGGATGATAGGAACATATTTTTGTTTTAATTAGGTGACTACTAATTGGCTCCTGGATAGCTTAAGGAAGAGGTTGGTCATTTGAAAAACAAGCTATGATAAAATCTAGGGGGAGAGGAGCTGGAGATTGAGATAATTATCAACCATGTCTATATGATTAAGACTTCCACAAAAATCCCTGAACTACAGGGTTGAAAGAGTCTCTGGGCTGATGAGCACAACCACACTGCGTGCCTGCATGCCTGTGTGTGTGTGTGCATGTGCGTGCGCGTGTGCGCATGGGCTCCTGCACTTGACCTGGCCTGGTTCCACAGGGTCAGAAGTTTCTGCACTCAGATCTTTTCAGATTTTACCCTGTGCCCTTCTTGCTAAGTGCAAAAGAGCTGATAAGACTATATCCTTTATCATGTGTTCCATAAACACACTGGTAAACATGTTTCCCTGAAATAATACAGTATAGCAAATTACTGAGCTGGAAGGGATGTGGTCTATAAATATGTGAATCACACATTTCTTTTATAATTGGGTTTCCACACAGAAGAGAAATAACTAAATAATACTCTCCAAACCTATAATGGTTGCAGGTTTGCACTGGGTTTATGCAGTTTGATGTTCACTGGTGCCACCAGCCCCTCTTAGGCAAAAAGGATCTACAGTTGGTATGGGCTCCTCTCTGTTCAGGCTCTGTAACTGGATGTCATCTTTTTATGCTTCAAATGCATGTAACGTGTGTGTGTGTGTGTGTGTCTGTGTGTGTGCGTGCGCGCACACGTATTACTACTGTTTAAAATGGGTATTGTGTAAACACATAGGAAATTGAACTCAGGTAGACTTTGAATCTTTTCTTACAATAACCATACAAGGTGTTTCTTTATAGAAAATATGAAGATATAGGATTAATTTTGTCTGATTTTATTCAGCGGGGACAAAGATTTCTAGCCAAACAGAGTTTAGACAGACTAAAGAGAAAACTCTATATGTGCCCTCCGCCTGCCGCTTCTTCGTGTTGAGACACATTCAAGACTAAGAGTGTCCAGGAGTACAAGAGTGCCCTGAAGGACCTGGGCATTGTAGCACCCTCCCTTAGTGCCTCATTTTCTTCCCTACCCACAGCGTCTTTCTTGTCTAAATTGTCTATGTTGTTGAATAATCAAGTTTCATTTTCCTTTGGGGAGTGTCATTTTGTATTACCAGATTTGCCCCATTCTCTGTGAAGATCTCCATGCTCTAGCTTTAACTGGCCCATCATTTTATCTCCACTGATATAGGCATCCTTATTTTATGGCCTAAATGCCTATGCAGTGACATGGCTTTTTAAACCCATGACTGTTGAAATCCTGCTGAATTGTAACATATATATATATATATATATGTATATATATATACATATATATATATATATATATGTGTGTGTGTGTGTGTGTGTGTGTGTGTTCTGATTTTATATGAACATTTAGTAAAAATTATACAGAGGCAAGTAAATGATATTTAATAGGCCCATTGTTTGCATGTGACAAATATGCTGTCTTCCCTAGGGACATATGCCAATTCCACAACACCATATATAGGCCATCATAACCATTTTCCTGTGGAGATAGCCTCCAGACTTGTTTTATTTTGTGAATGGTTATTTGGAGATTTCCATCTGATTCCAGTCCATGCAGTGGCCTCCATGTGTCATGGAAGGTGGCTCACTGTTCACTCACACACCTGTCCACAGTCTTGCTCTCCTTTATTTCCTCTGACACCTACAGACAGAATGGCAGGGTCAAACACACAGGAAAGCAGCTTGACCCTCCGGCTGAGTGCATGTTGTTGGTTATTTCAGCTCAGAGCTGTTTGCTCATGTCCTGCAAGCTGATCAGTTTCTAGCTTTGGAAGTGGCAGGTCTGACTCAGCGCACCAGAAACCCCCGAAAAAGGAAGCAGCTCCTAGCTTGCACTAATGCAAGAGTGTGCTGTGGGGGCCAGCTGCCCTACAGAGTCATCTGGCCTTAGACACAGACAGCATTTCAATTTTGGTCTAGCATCCCTAGAAATGAACAAGGGAGGAAAGACAGGGTGAGAGGGAGAAAAGGGAAGAAGAGAGGGGGAGGGTGGGAGAGAGAGAGAGAGAGAGAGAGAGAGAGAGAGAGAGAGAGAGAGAGGAGATTGCAATAGGCAGCAAGAAGGTTACCATGATTAGATGGAGCAGGAAGATACTTACTGCTGACTAACTGGCCCACGCTCAAAGCTGAAGAAGAGGAGGATGAGGAGGAGGAAGAAGAAGCCTGTCGCACGGGACTTTGAGATGTGGATGCTTGGCCATGTGCCAGGTGCAGAAGGTTGCCTTGAGTGCCTGCTTGACCCACTGATGTCTGGGAAGATTGGTGAAGCTACATAGGGGATGTAAAGAAAATACAAAAGTGAATGGAACATTATGGGAAATGCTGGTGAACAGACATTTCTTCTGGGGTTGAATCATTCTATTTTCATGAATACACTGTATATTTCCTGGGGAAAGCACTATACCCAGGCAGGATTTATTTATTTATTTTTTGTATATGTAATATGGTGTTGCTTGCTTGACAGGCACTTTATTAGGAATTCTAAATATATTATTAATTCCCTATTGGGCTTGCCAGAACATCCAGTTTTTGACATTTCTCAGTCACAGTGTATGGCTGGACACTTTTCTGCCTGTATACACAATTATCACACACCTAGGAGGCTTCTCAGGCATGCGTAGGATGAAACAACACAATTCAAATGCAAAGCTCAGACTTAAAGACGTGCATGTGCCCATCATTCACAGAACTATTAGTTTAAGGGAAGTTCCAGTTAGGCTGGCAGCTCTGCTCTCCCAGGTCCAAGGTTTTGGGTGTCTTATACAGAACAGTAACATACTTTCTGATATCTGCTAGAAATCTGAGAATTGGAGCTGTCAGGATAGAATATCCTATAATATCTGCAGTTCTCAGTTGCTATTTTTGGGGGTGAGGGATTGAGACAGGGTTTTTCTACATATCTGTGGATGTCCTGGAACTTACTCTGCAGACCATACTGGCCTTGAACTCAGGGATCTGTCAGCCTCTACCTTCCGAGATAAAGGTGGATACCACCATACCAGCCTTGGCACTTTTCTTTTGAAAATTTATTTATTTGTGTGTGTGTGTGTGTGTGTGTGTGTGTGTGTGTGTGTGTGTGTGTACATGTGTGCTCAGGACTTCAATAACTTTCCCTGAAGGAAGACATTTTAAAGGTAAAATTAGGATTTGAATTCCAGAAATGCATCCCAGAGTTTGAACTCAATTACAACAATACACACCTTGCCACGGGAGTGATATTAGTCTTACATGCAGCCTGGGTTCCACCTCTTCTGAGGTCTATCCTTTGGGACTGGATGGTGGAAGGACAGAAATGACTCCTGCAAGTTGTCCTCTGACCAACACAGGTGAATATTAGCATGAATGTCACTCCCAAAAGAAATCTGTCACTCACTGGAATAAAGAAATCACTTATATTTGTGTGTGTGTATGTGTGTGTGTGTGTGTGTGTGTGTGTGTGTGTGTGTGTTTCTGTGTGTCTATATACACGTGTATGCAGGTGCCCAAGGAGGTGTCAGATCTTTTGGAGCTGAAGTTGCAGGCATTTTTGAGCCGGCTGACATTGACGCAGAGAAGCAAATTCTTATTTTTCTCATAGAGCAACAAATGCGCTTAACCACTGAGCCATCTCTCTAGCCCCTCAGAGGCTTTCTTTGTGCCAGCCACTGGTTAAGGTGTGTTCATGCAGTTGCCTCTGTATGAACAAGGAAGTCAGCACACAGAGAAGCTGAGGTGTTTTAGGTTCATCCTCCTGGTAAGGAGGAGCTGGTCTCTGGACAGACAAATGAAGTCTGGCCTGGGACTTGAGCAGGTGGCTACACTAACACAAGGAAGAACTAAGTTACTTTTTCAAGGTTTTTAAACATTGTGTCTGTTAAGGAAGGCTGTCTCTTTGTTTACTTATTATTCCTTTGAAGATTCTCAAGGGAGAGTGGCTCTGAGATTGCAAGGAGCCTGGATGAGAAGACCAAGAAAGGGGGAAGGAGAGAGGTTGCACTAGGGGGCCTGGAGAAAACTTTCTCTCATCCTGTGTTGCTCTTCCATAAAGATGTTCCAGGGATTTAGGGACCTAAGGAAGAGGAAGGTTAGCCTTAGTAGCAGCTACTTTGTTAGTTGTGATATATGGTTTACACACTAAAATGCATGAGAAGGTTTTATTTTTTTAAGTGGGGCAGGCTGTGACCTTTGGTGGGAGCTCCCACAGAACAGTCCAGTATCATTTCTGTCATCTTCAACTCCATCTGCCTCTGTTCTCCTCTGTTCATTTTCCAGTCAACATTTTTTGTTATATAATTTTCATGTAACTAAAGACACCCATTTCAAACATACTCTGAGGAGTCTGTCAAATGGATGCAGCTGTGAAACCATCATTGCAATCAAGACAGGAAACTTCAGTATTCCACAAAGTTTTCTCTTGTAAGTAATCTTCACCCTCGATTCTCTGCCTTGACAGCCATTTTTCTGCTTTCTGCCATGATGGATTCATTTGGTGTAGTTCTAGAAACGGAATCATATATAACATACCCTTTTTGAATCCTCCTTGTTTTGCTTGACAAACTGTTTTTAGATTCATCCATTTTTGTGTGTGCTCCAGTAGCACATTTTGTTTGATTGCTAAGCAGTAGTTCACTCCCATTCCAAGTCTCCCCTCCACCCAAAACATACTGTTTATTTATTTTCTGTTGGTAGATGCTTGGGTGTTTCCAGTTTGGGAATAGGAATCTGTTGGTAGATGCTTGGGTGTTTCCAGTTTGGGAATAGGAATAATAAAACTTTTTAAAACATTTGTGTTGTAGTCTGAGTTTACTTGTGTGTGTTTGATGAAAATATGAGTAGAACTATGGTTTAAATACTGATCTTACTGTAAATTTATGTTGCACAGTTTAAGGAATTCCAAAACTTATCTTCAAAGTGACTGTCCATTTTACATTGACACCAGCAATGCATAAGAATTACCATTACTTTTTAATCATCACCAGCACCCTGGTTTATCAGTTTCTTAAGAATTCCAGTGTCTTTCTACCCATTGCAGCAGTTTTAGTAAGGGGTGACCTTAGAAATATACTCAAAGATATTTCCCATTGTTCCCTTTCCCTCTCTAGTAGTGAACAGCAATATCCATACTCACAGGCTACTCCTACACAGCACATGTGCCTGTCATGGTTATAAATACATGGCTGGCATATATGAATTCTGAACATCAGAATATAGATGCCCACTTGCTCCCCAATGGAACTCCCTACTGTCACAATTTAAGTGAACACCCCTGTTACTTAGATATTCTAAATGAAGGTTCTGTTATGAGCCAAAGAGGGTCATAACTGACATAGGAACTCAAATTGATAGGCATCAAGCAACTGCCTAAGATAATTAACCAATTTGCTGAGTACATAATCAACAATTAAACCCAGCAAATTTTATGCTGTAGGGATGCCTAGTAAAGAGTAAATCTATTTTAATTTACTTCATAAATTGTGATAGATATTTCATGTCAATCTTCCCTTCTAACCTATTGAGTTGTCTTTCCAAAGACTGATACAGGGCAACAATGTTTATGGGTTTGAGATACCAAGTGAGGAGGAAGCCCTCTGGCTTCCCATTCCATCAATTGTTGATTGGCTCTGGCTGTGGTAAAGAGCTATCCAGGAACTAGACAGGACCATAATCAATTGAAACATTTCTCCTGTGGACATGACATAGGAAAGAAAAGCATGACCAGGCTGCAATGTCACTTAGGAATTACTAAAGCAAGCTGGAGTTTTGGAATAAGTCCATGTAAAAGAAGAAATCCAAAAGGAAAACAAGGTAGTATTCTAAAAGAATTTGCTCCATGTCTATTCAGTAAAAGAGTAAGCTAAGATTTGTTAGAATTTAAGATTATTTTAAGATAAAGAAAACATTTTTAAAGGACATTGGAGTCTTGGTTTCTTTCCTGAGTTCTGCCAGACAGTTCAGCAAATGTATAAGAATTCTTAAAGGTTTTGACTTTTAAAATATTGAGTAGATTGTAATGGCATCTTTCTTCCCAATTCCAGTTGCCAGTATGGGCACTTGGATGCTAGATCTAGAAGAGTTGTGAGCTTAGAGGGAGATATGTGGTACATAAACTAGTGAGCTCCCTCTAAAGCTTTTTCTCAGAAAAAGAAGACATCAACGGCACCACAGCATTTACCTTTGTGCAGGTGGTTTATGTCAATGTGACACAAGCTAGCATTGGTTAGTAAGGAGGGACCTCAACTGAGAAAATTCTCCCATTAGTTGCTCTGTGGATAAAGCCTGGCACTTTTTCTTAATTTGTGATTAATGTGGGAGGGCCCAGTCCACTGTGGGTGGGATCAGCCCTGGGCTGCTGGTGGTATTGGGTACCATAAGAAAGCAGGCTGAGCAAGCCATGGGGAGCAAGCCAGTAGGCAGCATTCCCCATCACCTCTGCTTTGGTTCCTGCCCTGAGTTCCCTGGATGATAGATTATAACTGTTAGTCACAATAAACCTTTTCCTCACCAGTTGCTTTTGGTCATGGTGTTCCATCAGAGCAATAAATAAGACAATATCTACCCAGCAAATAGCAACACTTCTCGGTGAACATGGCACTGTGTCTTGGATACTCAAACTTTACTTATTTGGGTATATTATTTTTTAAAAAAATTCATTATTTTATTAATTATTAAAATTATGCTTAGAACTATATTTACCAAAGAAGAAAAGAAAAAGAGATCTAAGCTATTTCATGAAAGAACTCTGTGGTTCCATATAAACATTTAATACACTCTAAAAAGCAGTATTAGGAAAATATATATTTGATTTAGTTATGTTGAATTTTTAAGATGCAATTTCAAAATTTATATAGTATATATTGCTTAAGTATTGGCAAAAAATACTAAAATAAACCTGGCCATAGAAATTGGAATAATTTGTGAAAGGAAAAGGTTGGCTATAAATAACTGGAAGCATGCATCCAACAACAGCTTCTTTATTAGATATCGGTGATATTTTGTAGAGGAGACAACAGATTCCTGAAGATAAAGCTACTCTCCTGGGACAATGCCACTAGAGCATACCAGCTGTGAGCCCAGGAGGGCCTGCTGCAAGTCCGTGTTCCTCTGTGGAGGAACCAGCAAGTCGGGACAGGAGCCTTGTTTGGGAGTGTGAGAACCAATGAGGTGTTCCGACAGAGCTGCCAAACCCTAGAGTAGATCTTTCTACTCAGACACATCCCACTTTTCTGTCATAATAAAGAAAGAAGTATACATTTTTTTTCTAGTTTAAGTATTATTCTCTACAGGTCCCA